CAGAATGGTATGTTAAATTACAGAATGGTATGTTAAATTACAGAATGGTATGTTAAATTACAGAATGGTATGTTAAATTACAGAATGGTATGTTATATTACAGAATGGTATGTTAAATTACAGAATGGTATGTTAAATTACAGAATGGTATGTTATATTACAGAATGGTATGTTAAATTACAAGATGGTATGTTAAATTACAGAATGGTATGTTAAATTACAGAATGGTATGATAAATTACAGAATGGTATGATAAATTACAGAATGGTATGTTAAATTACAGAATGGTATGTTAAATTACAGAATGGTATGTTAAATTACAGAATGGTATGTTAAATTACAGAATGGTATGTTAAATTACAGAATGGTATGTTAAATTACAGAATGGTATGTTAAATTACAGAATGGTATGTTAAATTACAAGATGGTATGTTAAATTACAGAATGGTATGATAAATTACAAGATGGTATGTTAAATTACAGAATGGTATGTTAAATTACAGAATGGTATGTTAAATTACAAGATGGTATGTTAAATTACAGAATGGTATGATAAATTACAAGATGGTATGTTAAATTACAGAATGGTATGATAAATTACAAATGGTATGATAAATAACAAGATGGTATGTTAAATTACAGAATGGTATGTTAAATTACAGAATGGTATGTTAAATTACAGAAGGGTATGTTAAATTACAGAAAGATATGATAAATTACAGAATGGTATGTTAAATTACAGAAAGGTATGATAAATTACAGAATGGTATGTTAAATTACAAGATGGTATGTTAAATTACAGAATGGTATGATAAATTACAAGATGGTATGTTAAATTACAGAATGGTATGTTAAATTACAGAATGGTATGATAAATTACAAGATGGTATGTTAAATTACAGAATGGTATGATAAATTACAGAATGGTATGATAAATTACAAGATGGTATGTTAAATTACAGAATGGTATGTTAAATTACAGAAAGATATGATAAATTACAGAATGGTATGTTAAATTACAGAATGGTATGTTAAATTACAGAATGGTATGTTAAATTACAAGATGGTATGTTAAATTACAGAATGGTATGTTAAATTACAAGATGGTATGTTAAATTACAGAATGGTATGTTAAATTACAGAAAGATATAAAATTACAGAATGGTATGATAAATTACAGAATGGTATGATAAATTACAGAATGGTATGTTAAATTACAAGATGGTATGTTAAATTACAGAATGGTATGATAAATTACAAGATGGTATGTTAAATTACAGAATGGTATGTTAAATTACAGAATGGTATGATAAATTACAGAATGGTATGATAAATTACAAGATGGTATGTTAAATTACAGAATGTTAAATTACAGAATGGTATGTTAAATTACAGAATGGTATGTTAAATTACAGAATGGTATGTTAAATTACAGAATGGTATTTCACTGAGCTATGATCTTATAATCCAGGCATAATTTCTGGTCCAGTACAAGCAGCCATACAAACATCTGCATGCACAAGGCTATATAAGTGCAATAATCAGGCACACGATGTCTTTTGATGCCAGCTCATCAGTTGTTAACGTTTGGTGGGACCCAGATTTCCACAACAACAAATGTTATAGGACAGACTTGAACACATCAATGTGCATTGAGATATTACTTGCCAATGATGATGATTGTGAAATGTTCTGTATACTTCCGTTCTTAATGAGACAAACCAACACTTATGAAGTGAAACTCCAGGACCTTTTGAGATAGAATCTGTGAGAGTTAAATAATAAAAAATGTTTTAAGAGTTGCAAATAAGATATGTTTTGGAATGATTTTTGTTCTTATTTAGAAATATGAATATCATTTGGTCATGTTACTGATGATCAGGAAGTCTTTTCTTGGATATACTGTATATGTTGAGCTTGTAGGCATCTCTCTGCTTTCTGTTGAGTTCAAGCTTTGCTTTCATTATATAATGCCTCTGGACAGGTCATCAGTTGCTATGATTATGCAGTGTTTACCTGTATATATACTGTATATACTGTGGCTCACCAGCAGCACCCGCCCGCCGGAGAGCGGAAGGTCGCGGGTTCGATCCCCGACCGCGTCATACCAAAAGACGTTAAAATGTGGTACTTGTTGGTCCCTGCCTGGCGCTCGGCATTAATGGGTACAACAAGGACTGGTCAGCTCGGAGTCAGTATAATGTGTCTGAGTGGGGTATTCATGCTTCACTGCGGCATGGAATCTCAGTGGGCTAGCACTATAAAACCAGCTTCAGTCTGGGCTAGTACAAGCAGCCGCACATACACATACACACACATGCACGTCGTCATATGAACGATATATTCTCAAGTACGACGTTAAATCCAATTTCACCTCACCTCATCTCACCTCACCGGCAGCACACAACCACCTAATTGGTCTAGTGGATAGAGTGACTGCCCGGTGAGCAGAATGGTTCAATCCCCAGCCACATCATACCAACATTAAAGCTGGTGCTTATTGTGGCGCTGACTGCTGTCCAACTTGTTGGGGTTAAAACAAGGACTGATCAAGGGAACCAGTTTTGGATTATTATGTTACATTACAGAAGGGTATTTCAGTGAGCTGTGGCATAATGTCTGCTCCAGTATAAGTAGCCATTCAAACTTAGGCATGAACAACGCTAAGGCCAGACCAATTTTATTTCTTGTTTTATGGATTTTGTCCTCAGAAAACATAAAGGCAGGAGGGGAACAAAATAAAAATGAAATGACAAGTCAAAGTAATATTGCTTCCAATTACTAAAAGTATTTTACTTTTTGGAATTTATGAAGTGTATATGGGGCAAAAAACATTTTAAAAGAAGTTTTCTTGTAAGTTTACATTTTTCGCCAATAAAAATATTAGGATTTTATTTTTTTAGGTGGGAAAATGAATGTTTATTTTTTTTCTTATTCTTGAAGAAATATGACCGACGGATCCATAAAACAAGAAATAAATTTGATCTGGCCTAAACATCACACACAGCTGTCTCATTCAGGTGTAGTGGATAGAGTGTCTCTCCCAGATAACAAAAAGGTAGTGGTCCAGTCCCTGGCTGCTCCAAAAGAAAGATGAAGCATTATTGTTACCCTGGCAAATGCTTTACATAAACATGATAAAATGACTGGTCAATGGAACCAGTGGTGGATTATCATGTTAAATTACAGAAAGGTATTTCACTGAGCTATGATTTTAAAATCCAGGCATAATTTCTGGTCCAATACATGCAGCCATACAAACATATGCATGCACAAGGCTATAAAAGTGCAATAATCAGGCACATGGTGTCTTTTGATGCCAGCTCATCAGTTGTTAACGATGATTACACAGCATCTACCTGTATATTACTGCATCTTGCCAACATCACACACCATTATCAGCTTGGACAACCAGTTCTGGGATGGTATACATCCTGTCTGTCATCATGCTTGTTATGTCCATTAATGAAGGAAGATCACAGCCTCACAAGGAAATGATCGCCCACGTGGGGAACTATGTCATTTTATATGATATTGGCTGGTCTAGACGGGCCATTATGTGTTTAGTAATGACCATTTTTCTGGGAGCTGGTTCCAGTGATTGATTAGGACACATATAACATGGTTGATAACGTCACTTCTTTCAGGAAATGTCACTTGTTCAAAGAAGTGAATTGTTATGTTTCACAGATTGTGGATTAGCTGTTGTTTGGTTGAAAATGTTGAGTTGGCGGTTATTCACTTTGGTTTTCTTAGGCAACAATAAGTTGTATATTTCTTAAACATTTACAAAACCCATGCATGTTTTGTAGGGCTGTATATATAAGAACTATTTCATGAAGTATCATGAAGTGACCATAATTTGTCTGTAGGTAATTGGGACAAAGTGAAAGCAATCTGAGTCAAGTGTGTGGTGGTGAAGCATTGTGCTTGATGGTGAGGCATTGTGCTTGATGGTGAGGCAGGGGTGTGGCAGTGAGGTTTTGATGTGGTGAGACAGGAGCATGGTGGTGAGGTCAGTATGGGGTGGTGAGGCATTGTGCTTGATGGTGAGGCAGGGGTGTGGCAGTGAGGTTTTGATGTGGTGAGACAGGAGCATGGTGGTGAGGTCAGTATGGGGTGGTGAGGCATTGTGCTTGATGGTGAGGCAGGTGTGTGGTGGTGAAGTTTTGATGTGGTGAGACAGGAGGAGCATGGTGGTGAGGTCAGTATGGGGTGGTGAGGCATTGTGCTTGATGGTGAGGCAGGTGTGTGGTGGTGAAGTTTTGATGTGGTGAGACAGGAGGAGCATGGTGGTGAGGTCAGTATGGGGTGGTGAGGCATTGTGCTTGATGGTGAGGCAGGTGTGTGGTGGTGAAGTTTTGATGTGGTGAGACAGGAGGAGCATGGTGGTGAGGTCAGTATGGGGTGGTGAGGCATTGTGCTTGATGGTGAGGCAGGTGTGTGGTGGTGAAGTTTTGATGTGGTGAGACAGGAGTATGGTGGTGAGGATAATGTATGCTTGTAAGGTGCTTGGTTAGGCAGGTGTTTGGTGGTGAAATAGGACTGTGGTGAAACAGCTTGGTGGGTGCTCTGGTTGAGGCAGGTGGTGTTTGATGGTGAGGTGGTGTAAATAGGACTGTGGTGAGACAGGAGTGTGGTGAGGTCAGTGACTGCCGATGAGGTAGGTGTTTGATGGTGAGGCAGGTGTTTGATGAGGCAGGTGTTTGATGGAGAGGCAGGTGTTTGGTGAGGCAGGTGTTTGATGGAGAGGCAGGTGTTTGATGGTAAGGCAGGTGTTATATGAGGCAGGTGTGTGGTAGTCAGGGCAGTGTGTGATGGTAAGGCAGGTGTTATATGAGGCAGGTGTGTGGTAGTGAGGCCAGTGTGTGCTGGTAAGGCAGCTCATGGATTATATAATATACAAGTTGTGCCCTTAAGCATGGTAAGGTCAAGAGGCACGCAGCATGTAACCTACAGTGTATTATTTCTTATGGATGATCTCGGGTTGTTCATTGCAGACGAGGCTGACAATGGACCCTCACCAAAGATCACTGTTAATGACACGGACATCCCGATACAGCTTCGTCTGCTGTGTGGCGCTGACCTCCTGCAGTCATTCGGGGAGCCTGGAATCTGGGCTGAAGAGGATGTAAGTTTTTCAAAATGAAATTTCATTTTCAGAAATGTTCACAATTCTCTTGGAGTCTTTAAAAACTTTAAAATGATTAATAGAAATGTTAAACACAATAAATTTAAGTTGATGAGTGACTAAAGGAACTATTTACCACCATATCTGCTTGACTTAAAGTTGTTAAAAGTATCAGTGCTTTGAAATGGCACAGTTCTTTCATGATTGTTCTGTTGTGTACTGTCTTTACAAGTAAGAATCCATTGTTGTTGGAATGCTCTGGAAAATGCTTTTGCTGCCAGAAGTTCATTTAAAGTCTTCAGTGGAAACTCACCTGTTTTAAATGTCATGACATGGCTTATATTTTGCATTAGGTTCAGGAAACATCTTTTTCTGCTAGAATTTCATTTAAAGCAATCTTTAGTGAAAAAAAGCATTAGCTTGCATATGTCAAGGTCCCTCTCTTTAGTTCTTAAGTGAGTCATGAAGACATGTTTTTCAGCTAGAAATTCATGTAAAGCAATCTTCTGTTTAAGCTCCGTCACTTTAAGTATATGGAGCCCTGCTCATATTTTGAATACAGTAAGTAACGTTTATAGCAAACAGACTTATATGCATAGAAAACTAATGGATATAGCAAACCATTATTTTTGTCCCTCTTGATGTGTTTTCTAGTCGATACACAACAACAGTTGCAACAATCAAACATTAAGAAGATCAGGGTTAGAATTTTGGTCTTCAGCAATCTATGCAGGATCAGGTGGTCAGACTCGCTGACTTTGTTGGCATGCCATCGTATCCCATTTGCACATCTCGATGCTCATAATGTTGGATTGTCTGGTCCAGGTTCAATTATTTGCCGCTGGAATATTGCTGAATATTAATGGGGTTAAACAACCAAAAACAAAGCGAAACTGATGAAGCTCATACGAATGAGAATATCTGTCTTAAGTGATGATAAGATGGATGTTCTCATGTCACTATGATGGTAAACTGGCCCAGGGATGTACATTGGGAGGAAATGTCTGCGGATATTAAGGAAATAATTTAAACTACAGCACAAAACAGTATCTCAATCTCCCTTTATCATGTGACCAGAGGATTACTTATTCTGAATTCAGTTACTGGTTCCCTTAAGGGCAGAGACAGGGAGATACGTAAATGTGCCATAATATATTGTTTTAACTGTACACCTGCAACGGTCAGGATGAAATATTTGTCCTTATATTTTGCCAGTTCTATGAGAATATGAGAACAACTCTTGTTAATCTGATTCTCAGTTTGTCTAATGTTATGAGTAAAACACCATATCAGAAGTTTATATGGATTTTGTCAAAACGTGGCTTCACCTTTTATGTATCCAAGCCTGCCGTGATATTTTAACTAGAAGACTTTATATGGATGATAATGTGCATGCCTATCTTTGTATTTGTCTTACCTCACACATAAATGTCGCTTTCTGATTGGCTGACACTCTTCTATTATTTTCAATGTTCCCCGCTTACAAGTGAGTAACATTTCAATGTACCCCTCTGTCAATGGCAACTCATTTGGTACTTCATGGTAGTAATTCTTTATCTCGAATTACATTGAATCACGTATGATGTACGGAAATTACCGATGTTTTGCGAATGCAAATCGATGGAAGGGAGATAACTCTAAATCTGTTTTTCTTGTCAGCAAAATCTAGCGATAGCTACAAAAAAAAATGTACCCGTGCTTCAAACAATTCAAAATTAACATTAAGGTGTTCGGTAAGATAAATACATTGTTCACTGGTCCCTCGGGGCTAGACTAAGGCCTAGTCTCTGAATATATATAATTTTGATAGTAACAAACAAGCCCATTTATATTGAAAAGGAGCCCTCCTGAACCTGAGGAAATCTAGACTTGCTTTATTTAGGGCTTTAGCACTGCAGAGAGGGCTTGGCAGTAGGGAAATTAATGTGGTTCAGGGACTGTGAGACAGACTACCTCGGGGCCTATGGGTTGATGTACCCTCGATGTTTGTTTATGTTCCCCTCGACCTTCTGGCTCAGGGAACATAAACAAACATCGAGGGTACATCAACCCATGCCCCCCTCGTGACCAGTGAACAACTTATAATATATACCGTTTATTATTACACATCTTTTGTTATCTCTAAGTATGTTTTATGGTCTGTTATAAATTGTGGTGGATTGGTTGTAGATACCTGCCTTTATATCAGTATATGTTCTGTGTATCCTGGGTGAGACATTGATAAAATGTTTGTATTTTCCGTCAGTTCTGAGTGTGACTTATTGTATTTGGTTTTCAGATAGAATATATACTGAGTAAACACGGACTAGTGTGTATCACAAGAGAGGGATGTGACCCACGGAAGTTCATCTATGAATCGGATATTTTGTCAAAGTATCAAGTGAGCATAATGTTACATACTTTTACATTTAATAAAAGTTTCACAAACATTTTTCAAACATTATTGGTGAAAGGTTTAACTGAAAACAGAATTGTGTAGATCAGATGTTTTCTTATATATTAGTGATCTGTTTAATATGCCATTAGTGCTAATCAGTAAGGGTAGTGCAGCATTAATACCTTCTTTGACTGTTTGGGGCGGTGGGGTAGCCTCGCTGCTAAGGTGTTCGCTTGTCACGCTGAAGACCCGGGTTCAATTCCCCACATGGGCACATTGTGTGAAGCCCATTTCTGGTGTTCCCCGCTGTAATATTGCTGGAATATTGCTAAAAGCGGCGTAAATCCCAACTCACTCACTCACTCTTAGACTGTTCCACTTTTCAAGTGCGGAATATTTACTACAGTCACAAATCCCTGGGAATTCTTGACATGTATATAGGTCTCCAACAACCTATTCTTGTATAAAATTTTTTTTAAAAAAGTATTCAGTACTCAGTTCTGTGACCTTTGTCAAGTTCATTACATTATCTCTGAATTGCAGGGATTGAAGTGTAGATGGCAATCACAGGCCTGTCTGGTCCTGACACAATTATTTATGGACTGTTGTCTTAAATAGCTGGAATATTGCTGAGTGCAACAAGTGAAAAACAATTTATTTATTTTTCTCAGTGACAAGAACATGTTCACAATTTGTTCTCTATATTACATTATTGTTGTTTTTAGAATGACTAGAGATTGCTGATGTTTTTTTCAAATTACCTTTTAGGATTGTTAAAATTGTGTCATGTATTTGTCCTTATTAATAAAAATAGCTGATGATGGCTTTGGATTTTGTCAATAAATTTGAAAAATAGAAAAGGTGTATTCCTACTTCTAAGTTTGACCATAAGTTATGTTTACAAGAAACAAGTTTCAAGGCTACCCTTGACAAGCATGATATGTACCTGAGTTCAGGTACCCACAATAAATGTGACAGCACTTGAACTAGTTTTACCTGTTATCCTTGGTTGTGGTTGTGTTATTGTTTATGTGTATGGCTTTGTACTGTTTGGACTAATGTTTGATTTAAATGACTCTGCTGTTTCAGGAAAATATTCATATAGTTACAGAATGGATCACAAATGAAATCAGTTCCACTAAGATAAGGTGAGTCCTCCAAAGAAGTAGGAGGTAATGAAGAGATTTTATGTGTGTTTCACAAAAGTGGTATGGACAAACCAAGACATGTTAGCAGGGAGTTTCTGAAAACATCAGACATATCTAAGGTCCTTACAAGACTTGGCCTCTGTTTACATTTTCCAGTAATACTATTTTTTGACAAGACTATATGATTTGGACCAGCAGTCGACAGATGGTCACAGAGATTAGCATGAATTGTTTTAAAAAAACTGTGATTAACACCTGCCTCATGAGTCATGACAACAAGTTTACTACACTTTTTATTTTTTTAATGCACTCATGTTCAGGAGACAATATCCCTCGTTCAGTACTTGATATTGTTTTACATATTTTTCTGATCATCTCTGACAGCATCAGTTGAAAACACTGGACTACCGATGACGGTCACTGTTTTGTATTTGCTTCATGAAGGCGGTCATTTCACTTTTATCCGTGAAGATCTGGGTTAGAATTGTTTTTCAGCAACCCATGCTTGTCATAAGAGACAACTAACGGGATCGGGTGGTCAGGCTCGCTGACTTGGTTGACACATGTCATCGTATCCCAGTTCCATAGATCGATGCCCATGCTGTTGATCACTGGATTGTCTGGTCCAGACTCAATTATTTACAGACCACTGCCATATAGCTAGAATATTGCTGAGTATGGCGCAAAGCTAAACTGACTCACTCACTCATTTCACTTTACTGTGGCCATTGTATTTGTAGACGAGCTCTGAGGAGAGGCGAGAGTGTGAAGTTCTTGCTGCAGGACTCTGTGATCAACCACATTAAAGAGCACGAGCTGTACGGCATGCCTGACAAGTAAGCAACTTCGTCACTGTTGTATCATGGTGTATCACTGGCAATGGTACTACGATACTGATACTGGCAATAAGCAGGAACCTGTTTTGTAGAGTGATATTAGCACAATCATCTTAATCCTATTGTTTAACTTAGACGTAACAGTTGTTTCTTTGTGATAGCTCTTTAGGATCAAGAAACCTTCTTCTTTAAGTTTTCTTGGCACAATAAACGTAACTCTCATAGTTTAAGTAAGACTTGGGGCAGTCGTAGCTCTATAGAGTTTGTTTGAAACAGAACCAAGATTCACAAAGAGAATTTAGCTCTAAGTAAGTCATAACTGCCATCGATTTACATAGGTAAGGACAGTTGTACAGGATAATGACTTTGTCAAACAGGCCACAAGGATCAGTTTCACACAGCTGTGTTAGTCCTATGACCATTTATCTTGTCTTCTTAAACACTACAGTTACAGTGCTTAATGCTATGGGGGAAAATTGGTCCCAGAAAAACACACACAAGTGGCATAGACATTTGCAGTCAATTTGTAACCCATTGACAGGACATTCCTTAGTTGACACATTGTCATAAGTCAGTTTGTCATAGTAGACATACTGTTTCACATTGGACAGGATTTGTGTATTTTCAACATTATCTGCACTTGGAGTTGGAGAGGAAGAAGTTATATGGATTGACAACTTCTTTATTCCAGGGGCGGTGGGGTAGCCTAGTGGTTAAGGCGCTCGTCACCACGAAAGAAAGCAAGAAACGGTTCAATTCCCCACATGGGTACAATGTGTGAAGCCCATTTCTGGTGTCCCCCGCCATGATATTGCTGGAATATTGCTAAAAGCGGCACTCCACTCACTCACTCACTCACTCAAACTCACTCACTCACTCACTCACTCACTCACTCACTCACTCACTCACTCACTCACTCACTCTTTATTCCAATGGATGCATCCCTTCATCATGCCACCTTCTAAAATGCCACTTAGCATCTATTGCAATAAGGGGCGGTGGGGTAGCCTGGTGGTTATAGCGTTTGCTTGTCATGCCAGAGGCCCAGGTTTGATTCCCCAGATGGGTGTGGGGCCCATTTCTTGTGTCCACGCCATGATATTGCTGGAATATTGCTAAATGGTGTCACTCACTCACCCATGGCAATAAAGAAGTTGTCAATACATACAGCTTGTTTCTCTTCACCAAACCATCTTCCAAAATGCCACTGAGTGTAAACATCTTCTCTATGAAAACATCTTGACATTGCTTGAGGAGTAACTAGCAAAATGCTTGTACTGAATAAGCTCATGGATGTGTACTAGATACCATGAATACACCATGCTTAGAAAGTAGATGCTGATTTTATTGGGACTTGTTTTACTTAAAATATGATTTAAGTTAGCAGTTATTATCTTACAGACCTGTGCAAGTCTAGTTCAAAATACAAAGACTCTCGAAATTGTGAATGACCAATTACCAGCATCCTTGTACCATTGCTTGTCACTGTTGCTTGGCATCTTGTATGCTTGATGTTGAATTGTGTACTATTGTGCGATATTGTGCATTGTTCAACATTAGCTTTATCACTAACATTAGGCATGATATTTGTTTTGTTAGTTGAATATTTTGTTTGTTTCTCAACTTCATTCTGTTTATCATTTCGCAGAGGTTTTTTAATCAAATACATTCAAGGAAACGTTGACTATTTGCATGCTGACTCCTTGTCATGTTTCTTTTGTTTCTTTTGCAGAAACAAACAGACTGTTTGACAGAGGAATGAAGTTTATATACCTGTTAACATTTATGTTGTTGATTTTATTACCAAATTGAAATGTTATTTTGTTTTAATTGTATCATACCTGTTTAACCCGCGGTTTAATTTTAGTTGATATATTCAGTCCTGACATAACCAGATGAAACAGAAAGCATAAACAGACATAATGGCAGAACCTCTTAACATTGCCCGCTTATACAAGGGCATGGTATTGAAGTTGTTTTAACAAAAATTGAAAATAATTATGAGAGTTCAGTGCTTTCAGAAAAAAATCAAATTTGTACTTTTTAGTAGCTAACAGAGCCTGAATTGTTCAAGTAAAAATGATTTTTTTAAAATTTATCAATCTTTGGAATGTATGTTCAAAGTCAGTGTTTCATATTTGTGAGCATAGAATAGTTGCTTGGTAAAGGTGAATAACAATATTCATTGACTAGTGTTTTATACAATCAATTAGAGCCATGAAGATCCGGGGTAGAATTGATCTTCAGTAACCCATGCTTGTCGTAAGAGGCAACCAATGGGATCGGGTGGTCAGGCTTGCTGACTTGGTTGACACATGTCATCGCATCCCAATTGCGTAGGTCGATGCTCATGCTGTTGATCACTGGATTGTCTAGTCCAGACTCAATTATTTACAGACCGCTGTCATATACCTAGAATATTGCTGAGTGCAACATAAAAGTAAACTCACTCACTCATTACAATGAATTAAAACATAAAACAAATATAGAGAAACATGTCAGTGTTATGAATTCAGGGATTTTGTTTAGTTGGACAATAATTAAAATAATTATGCTTGTATATTGTGCAATTAACATCTCTCCTCGTAGGAATAGGTGATTTTCATTTTTTGACCTAATTAGATATTGTTTTTATGTTCAGGAAATTTGTATATATATTTTCTGAAAACAATTTTTTTTAACATTTCTGTAACTTTTAACATTTTATCATAATGCTTATAAAACTAAAATTTTATTAGTTTCATCTTATTGACATAAAAACATTGTATCTCAGGGACTTAAGATATTGAATACAAACTTCGATGGCATTTGTCAGTGTGTTGAAAGGGTAATCTGAGTGTATTGTTTTATAGAATGTATGTTCACTGTCCAATGGTAAAGTTTTGACAGGACATAAAATGTAAAAAAATATATACAATAGTTATTATAAAGTAATTATGATTACTGTTTAATTCATTAATATCAGTAATTTGACGACCATTGAAATCCACTGTCATTGTCCCATAGTATGTATGGAATTATAAATTCTTTAGAGGCATGTATGTATGCAATTTTACATGGGATTTTGTCTTATATGTTTGTTAACAAAATTTCAGCTTTTACATAGATAAGGCCAAAATATGTTTTGATTCATAGGTGTTTTTCTTATTTAAGAAATAACAACTCAAACATTGGCTCAAATTTACATTCCATTTTTGCTAAATCAGATAATTGTTTAGATTTTAGCTGGAGTGAAGTTATGTCTCTTGTTCCTGATTTGCCCAAATTAACTTCCTTACTTCCAAATAGAAGTTCTTAGTTTGAAAAACAATAACAACATTTATGAATATGTATCGATGTTATTTTGGCAATATGTGCAAAAGTTAAAAGATATGTTAAATTCTATGACACATCGAGTATTTGTGTTATTTTGCAGAGAGAAAGGTATTTTAAGGGGCATTTTATCAAATTGCTTTAAAGTTTTTTACAAGAGGCACCTAGTTAGCTACCAGAACTGCCATGTGTATTTTATTTGCTTTGGATATATCAAAACCTAATAGTATGCAATATTTTAGATATTTGTTAGTTTTGCTGAAAAGCATGAATTTGATATTTTACCTTTGTTTTAAAGTCCCTGAATGTTGTAGTGTATGCGTTTCTGTTTATGATTATGTGTCATATTGCTGTAGTGTGTATCTGTTTTGTGTAGATGTTGCTTGAATATTATGTTATATTGTCACAATAAATGTATATTTTTACAAGAACACCACTCACTCTTCTTTGTTGTGGAATCTTAGGCCAGACCAATTTTATTAGGGAAAACAATAAATAATAAAATCACCTGTCAAAGTAATATTCCATCTAAATACTCAAAGTATGTTACTTTTGGCAATTTATGAAGTGTATATGGGGCAAAAAACATCTAAAAACAAAATTTCTTGTATGTTTACATTTTTGGCCAATAAAAACATTAGGATTTTATCTTTTGTGTGGGGAATTTTTTATATATTTTTTTTTTCTTATTCTTGAAAAAATATGACAGACGGATCCGTAAAACAAGAAATAAAATTGGTCTGGCCTTATTTGATATAAAAACATCTGCCATTTGTTCTATGACAGCAGTGGAGAAATTTTGAGGGTTAGATGAAGACAACTGGACCTCATTTCAATAAGCAGTCAAAGCACTGTGACTGTCTAAAGTCGGTTTTAATTATGTGAGTTCCGAAAGCCATGGGGGCGGTGGGGTAGCCCAGTGGTTAAAGCGTTTGCTCTTCATGCCGAAGACCTGGGTTTGATTTTCCACATTAGTACAATGTGTGAAGCCCATTTCTGGCATCCCAGATATTGTTGTGATATAGCTGGAATATTGCTAAAAGCAGTGTAAAACTCCACTCACTCACTCACTTTGATAGGCATCGTGCTATGATTGCATGCTGAAATGGGAACCAGTGGAGGCATCAAGTTCTCTACCAACATCTACCCAAGGTACATAAACCTCTTGTCAATAATGGGCCGAGCTGGTAGCCTAGTGGTTAAATGTTGGTTCATCACATGGAAAACCTGGGTTCAATTCCCTAAGGATTCAGTGTGTGAATCCCAATCTTACCATCCTTCACATTGAAGTATGTGTTCAGCTAGACGTCTGCAAAATCCCCATGTAACTCAGAGGTGGATAGGATTTGCAATGTGAACAAATTGCTGATCCATACAGAAGCATTAATCACACATTTATTGCCTATCAACTGTGGATACAGACAAGGACAGGTTCTGTTGTTTTAATACTGTCCATATTAGAGAGGCACACGGGGGAAAGCTGCATTCACTGACATTATGCCTGGACTTCCAAACTAAAGGGAACCAATTTCCCTATTGTAGAAGCATGTAGATGTCGAACATATTTCTAAATGCATTAGGAACATCTATGTTAAGATCAGATGAAAACTGAAGATCCATTTACAATTGGTCTTCAGCAACGCATTCTTGTTGTAAAAGGCGAGTAACGAAATCGGATGGTCAGGCAAACTGATTTGGGTGATACATGTCATCGTATCCCAATTGCGGATAAATCACTGGTTGTCTTGCCTATTAGATTATTTACAGACCGCTGTCATATAGCTGGAAAATTGCTGTTAAACAACACGTAAACACAAAACAAACATTGTAGTTGTTGTCTGGTTCCATGCGTGATGTTTATCCTAAATCATGTCTGGTTTCTTTTGCTGCTGCTTTGGAAACACTAGTAAGTACATCAACCACATTGTTCCATCACCGAATGCGGAGATAATACCTTCCCCGGATGACGATGATGGGAACGGTCGATGATGTCAGTCATCAGTTCTTCTGATGCCAGCAACATGACCCTGAGGTCGCAGCGGTGTTCCTCCGAGAGGTCAACCCCACCAAGGTCACCCAAACACCTGATCAATGAAGCCCTGAGCCCCGCAAGGTCACCACAACATGTTCCCTGTATGACGGATATCGGAACGCTAGTTCGCCGGGTGAAAAATGTACGAGTTGCACTTACCCCCGAGACCTGTGTGTAGTGGCCCTGCTTGCTGCTTGTTGGTCATGTGACTGTGGTGCTTCTTTAATTGCATCAGCACCTGCAATGTTGTGGTGAACGCAATTTGAGGAAAAAATCAACACAAGTCGGACATTTGCCTTTACTATCCATGTGCTTCGTGTTTGGACAAATAACTTTTGTGTCAGAACAGTGATGAATATGTTGTGATTGATTATTTGTGGATGTCGGTTCTCTGACAATTCTTCACATTTGGATGATACTTGCGGGATTAAGGCAATTCGTGAGACTAGCATGAAAATGGATGACAGCTGTGGAGTGTTCTGGAGTGGAATGTTCTGATTTGGATATGTCACAAAAGTTATTGCCTGATTCAGAAGTCATGGATTGATATTGAATCGAGATGAAACCAGTTTGCCATCATGACTGTATACGTTTTATTTTTTACATTTTATTGAAATTTTTACAAAATATATTGAACTTATTAGAAGTGACCTTTCAACATGCTGGGAAAGGGGTGGGAATTGTTAGAAGAATATTTGTTCAAACACAGGTTTTAGATATGCAAATTAGTCTCTGAAAGAACAATACTTCCTTTTGTAAAGAGCCGTGGGGTCGCCTAGTGGTTAAAGCGTCCGCACGTCATGCCGAAGACACGGGTTCGATTCCCCACATGGGTACAATGTGTGAAGCCCATTTCTGGTGTGCCCCACCGTGATATTTCTGGAATATTGCTAAAAGCGGCGTAAACCATACTCACTCACTCACTCCTTTTGTAAAACCAGAGGTAAAACTAATTACTAAAACTATTATATATATAGTTTCTCGACACAGTGGTGACAATCTGGTTTCATGTTCGACAGTTATCTTCCATACACAACCAACTAAAATGCATTTCATGAAGTAATCATGTTGTGTGAGAAACCATCAATTAAGCTTCCATTCACTGTGACCAAAGACTGAATCCGCTTGTGTAGATTTGATCCAGTTTATGGAAAATATTAAACATGCTGCCTTTACTAAGTGCATTCTAGTTCATGTGATATCTGGCAAGGCAAAATAAATGCAGTGTTTGTTATGCATCCTTTTCTAAGATTCATTTGTGACCAGCACGTTGAGCTTGCTGCTATAATGACACCATGATAGTTCTAGAATAAATAAGTAAGAGCTACAAAACCGTTTCTATATTCATAAGGAATCTTTGCCAGAAGCAGAGGACATTCTACAATTCTAACCATATGTGCATGCATCAATGAATCTATCTCAAATATTGGTACAAAACCTTATTCACTCTCCTCATTTGACCAATCCCATTAAAATCAAGTGATGGTTACCACTACACAAAGATCTGTGAACATCCTGTTACATGTCATATAAGAATGACGTTTATTTTGTGAAACTTACACTCAGCATTGAATTGATTTTAACCAATCAAAATGTAGATTTTTCGAGCTCTGTGGCATTAGTTTCAAACTGGTAACCTCCATTCTTGACTGCTTTGAAAAATGTTTTGAGAAAGTTCCCATTTGAAATGACTCCTAAACTGAACTAAAGAACATTCTGGCATGTTTAAAAGATGGCTGAGATTGAATGGCAACAATTCCCATGTGGAAAGTCATTCAAATGGAAAGTCATTCAAACGTGTTGAGGTTTTTGAGGTTGTGAGATTTGAAAACAATCTAACTGTCTCTTTCCCAATCATGTAAGCAAAATTGTGATTGGTCACATGATAGGTTGTCCTGATGTGACCTGTAGTAGGATGTTCCCAGTTTTTGTGCAGCAGCAACAAGCACTATGACCTGATTTTAACCAGATTCCATCTGAGCACATTGAGAAATTTCATTTCAAATAAGAAGTCATAGGATATGAGTAGTGGTTTTCTTACATTGAAGGCATTTGATACTTATTTACTGCAACTTATGAGACAAATTGACAACATTATGAATGTATTTATGTAATCAAGCCAGGAAAAGGAATTCTTTGTATGTGTTCATGGTATCCTCAAATGAAATGGGTTGCATTAGAAATGATACTATGCAGCTTCTATGTTAAAATCATGCTTGGGCATGTAGGGTCCTATAGGATGGTATGAAAATGATTGATATCAAGACATGTATACAGCCTTCTAACTGATAAATATATACTACTTTGTTTGCAATATAGACTGTTCCATACCTGGCCTTGTAGGGTTTTAAAACTACCTCCAATGCATGAGAACAACTTGATGTGCCTTTGCATGTGTTTGTGATAGATAATGCCCATTGAGCAGGATAAACTCCCCTTCACCACTATTTGATAGTAATTCATAAACAAGTGCTCATGATATAGTCGGAATCATACAATCGACTCTGATTAAGGCAGATATTTCTTATGAATTGAATATGGAAACAGTCTTGTCGCTATGGTCACCAAAACATGCAAGCCAGTAGCTGCCACACATGAAGTCTTTTACTGATGTGTATATATTCTTCTAGCATATATTTGCACACACTCATGTAATGCAATCACTATTACACAGCACTTCAAAATGTTGTTTGTTGGGATGCATAAAAAGTTATTTATCAACTCTTGTTGCTGTGGTCAAAGTTTAACAATGTTAACTTATTCATGTTCTGTTGACGTTTTTGTTAATTCTATATAGTGATTTATGATGCTGTAGGGCCAGGCTTCATCCTTCAAAGGAATGGTAGCTTATATGAAAGAAATGGCCGAATATATGAAAGAAATGCCTCATCTGAAATATCGACTTTATGTGAAAGAAATAGGACTTGTATAGAAAATATTACCTCATATGAAAGAAATGGGCCTCGTATGGAAAATTTGATCTTATGTGAAAGAAATGGGCCTTATATAGAAAATGTTACCATATGTGAAAGAAATGGGCGTAACATAGAAAATATGACATGAAATAAATGGATTAATATGAAGTATAGCATATGAAAGACATAGCCTCTTATATATGAAACATGACTTTTTGTTAATATAATTCTTCAATTTAATAAGTTCACATATTTCAAGGGCAAATCGTGTCCACCATTAATTATTGAGTAAATCAGAAGTTGTGATGTAAATTATTTGTATGTGATGTTGCATTTTATGTGTTGTTGATGATCTATTAGATATTATATGATGGAATACCTTCCACATAATGTTCAGTGCTGCTGTGCTTGTTTTAAGCAGTATATACAGTATATATCTTATACGGGTTCAGATTCCATATGTCGCTGCAATGCAAGTATTGTATAAAGCATGTCAAATGTACCTGTTACACTCTAGTGGACCAGCGTTGTTTACCTCATTTACCAGGATTTATACACATTCTTTATCCCCAAAGTTTCTTATAGTATTGCAATATCTGCTCAATTGGTATCATGCTTGTATTGTTGCCAAGCATGTTTTTAGCATTGGTTTGGTTTATCTGCTTGAAATAACATTGCTACTGCCATTTGACAGTTAATGGTTATGAAATTAATTTGTTTTGGAAGTGGCAAAGGTCTTCATCACTATTTAATCCCTATCTGATTAATGTAGATTTGTCATAGCATCACACATTACTTCTTGCATCTGTTACTGATTACATTTTTAATGCAAATATAGGCTTCAAATTACTGTGTTGGCCATATTGACAAGGTCATGCGAAAATAATCACTTTGCATATGATTGTTAATTACCTCATGTTTTGAATTGTTTCAGATGATTTGATTCACTTAAGTAACTGTGTTACACATTCATGCAAAATAAACATTTACTTTGTCTTGGACCTATTTAGGTCAATGACTTTATTAAGCATGCTGAGGCATTACTGTAACTGATCCGTGAAGATCCGGGTTAGAACTGATCTTCAGTAACCCTTGCTTGTCATAAGAGGCGACTAATGAGATCGGGTGGTCAGTCTCGCTGTCTTGGTTGGCACATGTCATTGTATCCCAACTGCGTAGATCAACACTCATGCTGTTGATCACTGGAGGATAAGCAAGAAGCCAACGAAACAAACTTTAATGAAACTGAACAGACAAATCAAATTATTGAAATGATGTGGACATATTTTTTCTGATGTATCCACAAAAAGAAAAGAATAAAGTTTCCCTAAACAATAATTCATTTGAATATGTTTTGGTCTTGATAAAACCAAAACAGGTCTTGATAAAACCAAAACAGGAATGGATTTGTAATTTATTGTATTTTTGGATAAAATCAAATGCTTTGAACGATGTGTCAGAGATTTGACAGTTGGTAGTTGTTCAGGACTTCTGATTTATATATGGTGGCTTTGTTGTGTTCCAGTACAACCTTCGGGCTTTCCAGTCTTGGAAGGTTCAGAACTAGACAGATGGCGGGCAAGGGGAGGAAGCAACTGTGATACGTAAGGAGGGCACAAAGCTCACCCACGGGGAGCAGCCATCAGCATCAGTTGTGTGCTGTTTGTGGCATTGGTAGAAGGAGATGTTTTCTGTCAGTTCCACGTTTCTCATGTCTGTGATACTTGCTGTTGTAGCTTACTTTGGCAGTAAACTTTTGTCTATGTCAGAATAATATTTGTATGCTTAGGTAAATATTGGCAATTCATGGATTGGTTTTACATTGTTTTACATTGTTGAAATTATGGTGTGGAATGGACTCTCAAGCATAGGCATGTTTTATTTACCACAAATGTATAAACATTTGCACACACAAAAATGTTTTAATGTAAAATTTGTTGTTCGTGATGAGAATATTGATTAATACTTGGATTGAACAGAGAAACAGTCTTCTAGCATTTTCACATTAATTATAATATTGTTGTGCAAACATCCATCCTATGAAGATCAGGGTTGGAAATACGCTTCATCAATCCATGATTGTCACAATAAGGGTGTCGTTTCAGGACACCGACTTTTCGATTTGCCACTTGTCTCAGGACGCCGACCTGCGGTTTCCTTTGAAGCGACAAACAGGATCGGATGGTCAGGCTCACTGACCTAGTTGACACTATAATTGCCAAATTTGATGCTCATGTCTGGTCCAGACTTGACTATTTAGTATTCACAGATCTCTGCCATATGGTTGGAATATTGGGGCAGTGGGGTAGCCTAGTGGTTAAAGTGTTCGCTTGTCGCGCCGAAGACCCGGGTTCGATTCCCACCTGGGTACAATGTGTGAAGCCCATTTCTGGTGTCCCCAGCCGTGATATTGCTGGAATATTGCTAAAAGCGGCGTAAAACCATACTCTCCCATACTCACCCAGTTCTAATCACAAATTGACATAATAACTTTGGATCTCAGTGTTGTCCTGTTGAACTTGTCCAGTCAGTGCTATCTTAACATCTTTTGAGCACCAACACCATGCAGCTTAGGCCATGTAATGCAATAATTCAAGCTGTAATGTGAAGCTGTGGTGGAACGTATTCCAGTGTTCAATTCCTTGCACATATCAGCAGATGAATCTTGTTCGGTTCTTGTTGGTACTTATAGGAATTCTTGCTCTCAGGTAGTTAAGGATGATTGGAGTATTTCTGCTCATTATCATTCAAAATAGAATCATGATAAGTTTTTGCCCATTTTCCTATAATAGCTTCTCAGATGTTCAAAAAGTGTTCAGTTTCAACTGTACATGTATCAGTGCAATTTTCAGATTTGGTTCATGAACAAATGAGATATTACTCAGGTTGACATATCAACATATCTGTAGTGTCATTGTTAAACTTAAAATAGTTCCTTGTAACAGATTATAAGGTAATATATGTATCCTTGCCATTATTTCTCAATTTTGACTGATTGATTTCAACTTCATTCTAATTCTCTCTGAACAGAAAAGTGGAACACATTAGTCAATTTTGTTTGTTGATGCTTCAACTTTTAAAGGTTACTTAAACTTGTTAGAGCCAGCTGAAATGTAATGTCAGTTTTTAAAGCACATCTTTTTATGTATTCAGAGCCTGTAGGCCATCCTCCAGTAATCCTGTAGGCCATCCTCCAGTAATCCTGTAATGGCTGTTACTAAGTTAGGAGGCGTTAGAAGCAGAATGTTTCATCAGTGTAATTGGAGCACTCTGTATTCCAGTATTTTTCATCATGTATGTACACAAGGATGTAGACACCAGCATACTGTTATTCCCATGTGCCATATATCAAGCATTATTGAGAAGTCCCAGATACTTGTTGTTGTGTATGTCAAGTCTCCACATAATAATGCATATCAATATTGCTACAGTGAGCTTAATATATAGATACCAGTCTCTATTTATACCTTAACACAGACTGCTGTTAAATTAGTAATTTGTCTAATTGAGTTATTTTTTCCATTTTCAGTTTGGGTCTAATTAATAATATATATTTTTATATTTTATCACTTCTCAGATTGTGAGTGAAAATACGATGAGAATCTAGATGATTTTAGAGTTTCTATCCTTTGTAGTTCTGAGGGGTTTGTGTTTCTTCTCATAGGCATGCCAGAAACTTATGGTCTTGGACGATGCCAGAATTTCCCAGATTATGTTTCTTAGTTTGTCAGCAACTACCTATGGTGTTTGTTTTCATCAAAGGGTAAATGTCTACGGTCTGCATTGCGGTGGGGTAGCTTAGTACTTAAAACGTTCAACCATCATGCCGAAGACTGGGGTATGATTCCCCACATGGGTACAATGTGTGAAGCCCATTTCTGGTGTCCCCCACCGTGATATTGCTGGAATATTGCTAAAAGAAGCGTAAAACCATACTCACTCAGTCTATGGTCTGCAGTACATGGAGCTGATCTTGATACCCCTTATGTAGTCAGGAATGAGCAATCAGTCACAGATCATATGACCTTAAGGAGATTAATGAGAATCCTTTGGAAATGGAATTTTAGTATCTTTGAACATTTTGTATCAAAACATTTGAATTTGAAGATTACCAGAGTTGCATGTTGATGCTGTGCTCACCTCCAAATTTCTCTTCAAGTCATTTTTATTTGTTTAATATGTGAAGTCACTTTAATATGTGAAGTTTCCAAGGACCTGGTAAAAGATAAAGAGATGCTTCAAGATTAGCACCATAGGTCCATCATTCATGTTCATCGCTTTGACTCCCTCAAGAAGTGCAATGTATATTAGTTATGTTTCTTTATGCTCCTTTACCATGTTGTTGTACAGTTGCAGGTAACACTTGCTGGTAATGGATGCAAATTTTAAACTGTCTTATCTGCTGTGATGCAATGCTAAATTTGCCGAATAAAGATATTACTGTCCCAGATGTTTGTTATTATGTGAGAGGGGTTATTGTGTTCGCTTGTCATACCAAAGGCCTGGGTTTGATTCCCTACATGGGTACAATGTGTGATGCCCATCTCTGGTGTTCCCAGCCGTGATATTGAAGGACTTTTGCAAAAAGCGTCGTGAAACTGAACTCACTGTTCATATGTGAGAAGTTGCCAGGATGTTCCGATTCTTCCTTCTCTTTGTTGATCTCCACGCACTACATGCTTTCAAGAATGACGGACAGGTGTCATCTAAGGTGTCACAATTCTTTGAATTGCAGATTTTCAAGAATTATATTTCTTGGTTTAACCAAAGAGATGAACATCTAGTACCAGCATGTTATAAAAATGTTTGGATTTCCTCCTTCAACACCTCCACTCCATGATAATACCCCTGAAGTTCTGGTTTCGAATTGGTCTTCAGCAACCCATGATTTGGTTGACACATGTCATTGTATCCCAGTCGCGTAGATTGATGGTCATGCTGTTGATCACTGGATTGTTTGGTCCAGACTTGTTTATTTACTGACCATTTTACTCTGATTATGGCTAACGATCATGAAAAAATATCTCCCACTGACATCAGGTCTTAGGTCTGGCAACCGCTAAAGAAGGTGCTGAGGACATCTCGTAACAAAATCAAGATTATTGTAACTCAAAATCCAGTTTGTCAACATATTCTTGGTATCGAGCATTGCCATCAGCATGGCTTCTTTCACATAATTTTCGACCCTTGAGGTACCCTATTCCCAAGCTGTGAAGTGAACAAAATGAGTAATGTAAAACACTCATCAGTTTCTTTTGCCACTGAGAATGTATCACTAACAGAATATCTATGGTTTCGTACTCTTTTTTTATGTAGAGGCTGTTCCATTGTGTTTGCTGGAAACGAATTTTGTAAGACCTGTTCTGATCTGCTACACCACCAGCACCTCAGAAGAAAGCATAGATGCAGTCCACAAACTCAAATCGAGCAAGAGCAGCTTTACTCCATGAGTAGGATTAAGGGCTTCTCGTTTTTGCTTCTTCACATACACCTATGCAAAAGTTAATCACCACTACCACCCATACTAGTATTTCATTGTGTAGTGTTATCTTTACACCCGCTCTACACATTTTAAACGTAATCATGTGGCAATTTGATGCTATAGACGGCACAAGGCATAGAGGTACTGGCAGTGTTATTTTCCTAAATTAACCCAAAGGCAATGACCGATGCGTCAATGGCTTCAAAGTGCTGTCAACTTCCATGTCCATAGAGTCATTGTACCCAGTTCCTTATTTATCATAGTGTTCCACCTGACTCAATTCACATATAGATATGTTTATGGTAGGCCTAGTGCACCAACAATCGTCAGTAACATGAATAAACATCAGTGCATCAACTGTTGAAGTGTTGAGAGTTCATTTTCGAAGCGTTACAACGATAGCAAGTCACGAGGGAAAGTGTACATAAGTGTAGAAGTGCTAAAGATGTCCCACAGCGTACATTGGCCCACTGTCATGCAATGTTAATTTACCTGGTTTTGATCTGATGTAAAATCATATGAATCGATCTGTTTCTTCCAATACTTGATATTCTCAGATGGCTCTGTCTTTTCAGGAAAACTAGCAAACGTTCATTAGAAACAGTTCATTTGCCCTGGGTCGCCAGGCACTCTCGTGAGGGTAAACATGCATTCTGAATCATGTAGCCTTTGTAAAGTCGCAGTTCTCCACGACAAAGCACAATGGTAGAAGTCAATAGCAGATGTATGTATGCCCATAATATATTAAGACCCAACCCAACCTAACCCCCAAATAATGCATATTTATCAGTTCATGTCTTGGATGAATAGATCCCTTTCAAATGCAAATGCTGTATTTTGCTGCCTCCAAACTCTCAAGCGTCCATCAGTAACATGAAGAAGGGCTCGGATTTCTTACAGACCAATGTATTCTTCACCAAGTCCTCAGATTCCAGCGTTACCATGGTACCAAGAAGCCAAATGTAGAGGGCGTTTGATGATCCTTCTGGGCCCTTCCGGACTTTTCTCGTAGAAATGGCGAAATGGTAACCAGTGGTGCTTCAGAACAGTACTTGTAGCAAAACGTTTGTCGTCGAGTGAGACTCAATAGTGTCCTGTCTTCACGATCTGACGTCACCCGGGTCTTTCACAAAGTGGGCGATCCTTCAACTCATTGGTTTCCCTGTAGTTCTGGCCAAACGACTGACAACAGTGTAGTGGTAATTCATTTACCGACCAAATGCTTTAAACGACATACAAGAGTTATGCATACCAAAAATTTGCCCTCTTTGGCTATCGGATAATCGTCTTAGTACCATAGTGACTGAAAAACAACTGAACATTGTAACTCATGAGGATTAAATACTGACATGTGGCATGAGCACGAACTGCACTTGTGAAAATTCGTGGGTTTGCTTCTGTGTGGGAGACACTTTCCACAAGCAATGCAAGAACATATTTATCATACTTATCGTCATAAACAAGCTGAACTTGAACATAGTTCTGTTAGTGGTCAACATATTTAGGGGTGCTTGTCTTATTTCAAGGTGTATATAGACCACAAATGGTGGGACAGAATAACTCATTTCGTTTAATCCTCCAATTTGTTATAAGTGTGTTCGCAATAGCGTAGTTTACTGCATAACAGATTCAATAAAATTATCAACCAAAGTGAACCCATTCAGGATCGGGTACCTTGCTGTCGGTGGTCTCAATGTTGTTGAGAAGCTCACACGTGTTGTCCGAAGACCGGAAGTTAGCAGCTGCGCATGTGCGATGTACTCCGCAGGCGGCAATACAGTGGAGACGGGGAATGTTCGACATGACCTCCTTGTTAGCGTCTAGTCTCTGACCCCGAACTGTTATCATCGAAGTGCCTATACACATGGAAAAATAAGCATTCAAATTTTGTTATTTTCATGGAATAAATTTATCTTTTGTGAGAGTGACACTATAATTAATTTCGTGTCAAGGTACTTCTTATTATGCTTTCATTCATATACAAGCTCCAAAACCTGAGTTTTGAGCAAACTTAGATATTCGCGCCCATGAGCGATGTAGTTTAAAATTTGACTTTTCGAAAATGTACTATTAATTTTTGCTTCTTTAGCATATATCTATGACAATAGCATATGAATTTTTGTCAGATCCTTTGGCATAAACAGACCACAGTAAGGAGATTTTCTGGGTTTCCAGATTTTAATTTTGACGTGTTGTTTCCAAAATCACCGTCAAATAATTTGACACTCTGAGTAAAGATTGTTCCAGGAACGTAGTGTCTATACATTGTTTGTAGATGTGCGTGTGTCTGTATATTCCTTCTCGAGCCAACTACATGCAGTACACATACGTGAAGATGCGGGTTAGAATTGATCTTCAGTGACCCGTGAAGATCCGGGTTAGAATTGATCTTCAGTGACCCATGCTTGTCGTAAGAAGCGACTAACGGGGCCGGGTGGTCAGGCTCGCTGACTTGTTTGACACATGCCATCGGTTCCCAGTTGCGTAGATCGATGCTCATGCTGTTGATCACTGGATTGTCTGGTCCGGACTCGATTATTTACAGATCGCCGCCATAGAAATGAAATATTGCTGAATGGGGCGTTAAACAACAAATCAACCAACCAACCATCTTAGCAGCCATCGACCGACATCCTCAGGAAACTAAACCTGCGCACTACACAAACTCCACGGACATCACCTACCACTGCATGACGGAACACCGTAAATCTCAATCTCGCAGAAATTGAGGACGTCGTCGCCATTGTCAATGACCTTGGTGATTTTGACGATTCCAGTGAAGCCTTATGAATCAGTGGACGTGAGTCTTCAAACATGGTTTACTTCTACCGTCGTTTAGAAATAATTCCAACGAAGTAAACAAATTGATATATCTTTTGTACTTCGGTTTGAATTTTTTTGTCAAAGTATTTTCAACAGTTCAGTGATCACACAGCTGACTTTTAGTTCACGAACTTTCTTAGTCACATATTTTCACTCACTCACTCACTCACTCACTCACTTAATCACTCACTCACTCACTTCGAGACTCCCTATTCACGATGAGAATACTGTCGAAGATGTGGCCTGGAGGTCGACCTGCCAGAAAGGGGAATAGTCCCCATGCTCAATATGCACACAACTCTGGTCGTGATCTTTGTTATTCCGGTTCCCATCAACACCCCTATGTGGTCCATAGATCTCGAACAGATCCAGATAGACAGTGCTCTGTTTCCCAGGTTTGCCAAGAGCTACGTTGACATCAGCTGAAAACAGACTGTACATTTTGAAATAGAAGAAAGAAAATATGAATCACCGAAGATGTTTTTTCAAACGTCGGTTCCAATATTTGAGCACTTTTGAAAATAATCACTCGAGGTTTGCTTCATTTAGTCCATACACTACTAAGTTGAATAAAGCATTCAGGTATTTTTGTCTTTGTTATATTTCTTTAGACTAAACATAAATGAACGGACGCAAGATAATACTTAAACAATCTCTGGATTGATCTCCAAGGTATATTGAATATGCTTCAAGTTTATTGTAATGTTAAAAATACTGTATGTCTATCATTTTCTAAAATTTGAAATACCCGCAGTTCATGATCGCCAGTATGTATCAGAGAGAGTTTGGGAGACATACGATTTCAATTCACAGCTGATTGATCCAAGTTATATTTAATGAAAGACCACCATTTGCAACTCGGATGATATAACACGTTGCTCACGACATCAACTACCGGCACAGAATCGATTGTTTGAAGCTATTCATCCAAACTATATTCAGTGAAGGACCACCAATAGTAACGAACTCAGATGGCGTTACACGTTGCTCACGATATCAACCACTGGCACAGATTCGATTATTTTTAGCTGCCCTGTTATCTCTTTAATAGTGCTTAGCCCTAAATAACAAACCATACTTTCTGCAACGCCAAGAAGAAATACAAGAAGGATAGGAGTGAACGTCACACCCATAGTTCAG